GAAGAAGAATAGCTTGTAGGTTAGAAAGAATTCTGGTTAACCATGAGATTGTAACTCTCTTCTTTCTCCGAAGCTAGAGTTCTAACTGGGACTCTCGTATTACTACCTAAAGGACGATAGGCAGATAGGATTGATGTCAGCATTAACGCCCGGGTGAAAAGGTATGACTAAAATTTGACTAACTTGGCCCTAGCTTACTACTCCTACTAGGATAGTCGCAAAGGATGGCTAAGATAGCTAATAGCTGCTCAGCTCATATGGGTCTAGCCTTATTCAACTACCCGCACAGGAAAATAGAAGCACTAGGATAAAGAGGAACAACAGACGATAAAAACCGTATCGAACCTTACATCTATCTATAGTCCTCCGAGCGAGATTTTGAGAAGCTAAAACAACAAAGAATGAATTAGCTCTATCAAGCCCCGTTTCCAGAATAGGAAAAGCCAGGGGGGGAGAGGATAATAGCGGATGTAACAGTAGTGGTGGCATTCTCAACAGCCTTCGTAGCTCTATTGTCCAAGTCTCACTAGGAGCCTATTCGCATTCTAGGAAGAGTTGAAACAAGTTCGAGGAACGGTATCAATAGTAAGTAGAGTTCATACTATGTGATCTTTGCCTTTCTTTGTTTTCTCAGATATTTCCTATTTTTCAAGCGAGCTAGTGAAGTACCTCTTAGCTTAGGAAAGTGGGTTCTACCAAGCCAGTTTTAAAGCGGGGGCTCTAGGACAGTTTGAAAGTTTCCCAAGGAATATTGATATTGAAAAGAGCAGGTCCAGCAAGTTTGTTTGAAAGCCTTTAAGCATTCCCCGGTGCTTATGCACTAAAAGTCTATGTCCCTGTATCGTCTATTAAGGTTACTTCTTTAATAAGCAGCTTATTTTCTTTCAATTATATAATAGCTAACCCTTGAAAGTACTTTTGATCTTCACCCCACCGCGTAATATCTCATGTTCTTAGATCAATGGGAATGGTAGAGAATTCACTCCCCAATGGCATGAATAATCAGGCTTATAGCTTGACTAGTCTTCCACTAAGTTTACACCGTTCAACAACTTTGTACTGTAATTTTGACTTCCACGTAGCTACAGATGCGGAGCTAAAAGCTACAATCGCTTCTTAATTATACGAGAACCTAGGTTTTGTTTTTCTTTATACTACTTACAGAGAACGTAAGAACCTTAACCTCTTTGTTTCCCCTGCTTTAGTCGATAAAATGGAATCAATTTCCACTCCCTTTGTCATCTCAAACTATTGAACGATATCAAATCTTTCTATGTGAAGCTTCTATTCGAGGGCACTGACTCTCAGTCCATGTGCTGTAGTATCAACTTGCATAGGACCTTAACTAGACTCATATTCCAGCAGTATCCTCTTCTAGTCTAGCTTCGCCCTTCCCTGTCCAACTCATTCTGATTAGCTACCTTCTTCATTCAACTCTTGTCTAAGTTAGATATTGGATTTCATTTCTTTCAGTCTATGGTCCATATTTGAGTTCAAATTGAGCTTCTTTCTCGGATTCTCATTTCAAATGCAGAGTGCACCACCTATCTTTCTTTCCTATCCCTTTTCTTTGTGTAAGCTTAGATTGACCTTACGTAATTCGGTCCTTTCTTTGCAACTAAGTCAACATATAGAAGGTTTAACCGCTAGCAAAAAGTCTGGGTTATAAAGATCTCGACTGAAAGGGTAAGAAGCAACTGACCACTTTCACGATATAAATGAAGCTAGTTCGGAGTTTCGTTTCCGGTTGTCCTTGAATAGTCATTTAGAAAGTTAGTCTACTTTCTCTAAGGTTAGCTTTCAAGCTGGATGGAAGGAATTTGAATGTAATAATATCGATGCATACAAAAGTCTCTTCATAAAACATGTCCAAGTCTATGAACAAAATTGAGATCTTCGGAATCAAAAGCAATAAATGAGTTGGCCCCTTCCTTGTCTCCCCACTCTCTGGTTCACCTTTAGACGGGTCTATTTGAACACCCTAATATCTTCTAAGACACGATCAACGCTGCCTATCATTAATATCGTTGAACTTTAATCGGTTGATTTAAGGACGTGGTACTTCTACTCCACCCGTAACTGGCTGGTCTTTTCTTCTCTGCTTTTCCTAAGTTCGAATTGAAATAGAAATAAAAGAAGAAAACATCTCACAAACCAACCTAAATTTAGAACATAGTTAACAGCGTCTATAAAGTAGGGGCTTCGTACATTGTGCTGTGTCAGGCCAATGTGGAGATTTTGAAGAACTCCTATATCCAATGAACCACGGTGTATGTGTGCCGCAACCTGTTGTATAGTCAACCCAGCGGGGAACAGATAATCTTGCCCGCTAGGCATATTCAAATCAAGATTGAACAAAGCCATTAGGAGTTCGCCAATTTTCTCCCGGACAGAGTCGAGCGCTAAGTCTCCCAAGCGCTCTTCCCTTCCATCTTATGGGGAGTAAATCCGGGCAAACGTCCAACCCTCACACGAGAATGGCCAAGGGAAAGGACAAGCTCAAATTCAATATAAATTGTTGAGTCAGAAAATATGCAAAATGGAATAATCTCAAATAGACCAAGAACAAATTCTTTATCAAAGTATGGAATAGATAACTTATTATTATATAAGAGGCACCAATCCCAATCCAAATGGGAGTGGTTTTTGAGGCAGAAGGGATGTCCTCCGGTAAGCCTGGCTGCAGCTCAGCTCCCTCCCCAAAAGATTTTCAATGTTCATATATAGAAAGAAAGGAGGCACCTCTAAATTCAAGATAGCCATTAGAATTTGGCAAGTGAAGATAGACAAGAGTTTATTCCTATACGAAAAGGGTCGTGCTACCCAGGTCAGGGGTACTATATATACCTTCGACTTTGTTGGCTCCAGAAGCATTTCCCTCACCCTTGTTGGTCAAAGCCTTGCTTTTATGCCCCGATCGGTAACGTCAATCTTTTGACAAGTTCCAAAACTTGCGCCAAGCTATATTCGCCCCAGATCACCGGGGATTTCTCCTCCTTTGTCATGTAAGCGGGGACCCGAACCCTGATTAGCTTGCACATGCAGGCTTTCCAACTCGGGAAAAGCAGCTAGCACAAAACTCACATAGTCTTTTGGTGAAAGGTGTTTTTAACTCCTATCGTGATTGATATTGAAAACCACCAGAATGATGCGGCTCTAGACTTATCAAAATCGAAGTATAGTGATCTGCTTTAACTGCTGAATGACTTCCAAGATATATTGCTTCACAATGGCTCAGTGTAAAAAGTCAATAACGACGAAGTTTTTTTGTGCTAGTTTTCTCAATTGAATGAATTGTGATATGTAAAATGCTGCTAAAGAACACATGACCAAGATACTCTATGTGTTATTTTGGGGAAGATCAGCCTGAGGTAATTTCCTTAGTAGCTTTGAGCCGTTGAGCGGCGACCCTTCTACTCGGCACCATTGGATCACTAAGGCTGTCTGTGTACCTTTCGATCTGACTTACTAATTTTCTTTTGCCATATTCCTTCCACTAGAGGAATTTGACCTATCCCAACAAGTTCTACCAACAGCCTATCCTATTCTCTACTCCCGAAGAGCCTAGACTAGACCGGTCGGCCGTTGAATGAACGAAGACTTCCCTTATCCAATGCTGTCTTTCAATATGGAAACTCTTTTCTTTCCTATTCTTCCATCTCGATGCTAACTAAAGTCCGAAGGACCCCTAAGGGGTTCCAATCTTCCAAATTAGAGAGCATATCCTATTAACTAAGGAATCCCTTTTCTCATGGAGGAGCCCGTCGCACTTTCACTTTTTTCGCTAGCATGATAGATAAAGAGCTGTGAGAAGACAATCAGGGTTTCCGCATATTCTATTAACAACACACGGGGAAGGTTTGGCGAAGGTGTCCTTCTAAGAGGAACCGTACCGTTCTACATATGCGCCATGGCCAGAATGAAAACAGAGGGAGTCGTCAAAGAAAGATAACTACAAAGAAGGATGTCCCTATAACTGATATGGAAATTCTTTTTATCCGGCCAGAGAGAATGAACGCCCAATCCCCTTTGGCATACATCAACTTCGCCTTTCAATAGATGAATATTTTGTAATATGTTTGCTGCTCAACCGATCATTTCTACCACCTACTTATGCTCTCCCACTTTTCTTGGCTAATTTTGGCGAGTCAAAGTTCTTTGGTTTCAACGGATAAATAAGAAGGAAAGATGGACCCGGGGCTACGTTCTTCCTCGATCCATGAAAGTACATATTGTACTTGTTATGGAAATCTTGTCCAAATTTGAAAGATCCACTTGACTTGTCCAAAAAGAACAAAAAATATGGATAAATGAGCGCGAAGTCATAAGTTCTCTCTTGCGTTCTTGATCGGAAAAGAATCAATCCGAAAAAGAAGAAGAAGAAGAAAAAGCCCATTCCGGAAAGGAGGATCCGCACAAAATCGATAAACAAAGAAAAAAGCTTGAGATCAATTCCAGTTGATTCTCAATCCCCATGGAAAGCTCTTCATGTCCTACGAAAAAAAAAAAGAAGAATGAGGAAGAAAAAGAGAAAAGAAAGATGAGACGAATCGAAATCAGCGAGTGCAATTCTCACGAGAAGCAGAAGCGCCTCCCTTAGCTAAAACTCGTTAGGCTAAACGACAGACACATTTGAAAGCTGAAGCGCAGCACCCAGAAGAGTTGAGGTGGGAATGGCAGACAGAGAAGAGATTAGAAATTAGAGAGAGCACAAAGAAGTGGTTTGACTCAAAAGCGCTAGAAAGAGAGATTAATGTGGACAGATTCCAGTGGCATTTCGCTCCACAAGAGAGAGAGAGAAGGTTCGCTTTTTAGGCTTGTGAAAGAAAGAAGAAAGAAATTTGCATGAACCTTACAAGTAGTGGGCAATGAAAAATGCAAGCATGGTTTGGGGAGGGATTTGTTTTTACAAAGAATCGTTCAACAACTCTCATCTTTGGATGATATCAAGAGAAGAGAGTGACTTTACCGTTTTCCTTTCCCCTCAGGTCTTGGATCGCCTACTAAATCTCTTTACGTTCTCCGTTTCTGGTCAAGAGAAAGTAGGAGTAGCGGGTACTATTGGCGAACTCTTCTTGCCCTCTTCCTATATTTAGGGGGTTACGCGAGAAATGGCTTGAATAGGGAGAGGGGGAGTCGTGCCAATTCTCTCTCCGGGCCAACCTTACACAGTGAAGGATTCATTCTTATCGGAGCGTATACGAGCGAGTGGAGCCCAGAGAAGGGGGAAGCCCGACATAGAAAAGAAAGATCGTCGCTGCTAAATGGATTTTTGTTTCGGGCTCGGGCAAGACGAGAAAGTAGATATTCTACATTTTCTGTGACAGGTGGTTGTCATAGATAGGAGCGACTTTCTTGTGGTAGTCATTTCGAATGATCACCCCGAATGCAGATTCTTTCCACCCCAATAAGCAAGTCACAGACAATAACTCAACCGGACATGAGAGTTTCTTTTCATCCAGCTCAGGAAACCTTTGCCGAACCGAAATCAGATCTCAGATTGATTGAAGTCGAAAAAAAACCTATTTGGGGGAAGAGGCCCATTCACATTTTGTCCAACTTTGATAATGAACAGATGTGGAAAATTGCCTATCAACCAATGATCATTCTTTTGGCAAGTATTTGACGATTAAGATTTGATAGAAAGCTTTTTGATCCCGGAGATTTTGGGCCGAAGATCAGCACAGATTTTGTCTTCTTTGGTTGGGTGGCGGGTGGAGAATTAGAAAAAGCATTCTTTGCAGATTTGTTGCACTTTCTTAGTCTTTCTTCAAGACCTGGTAATCTACCAAGAAATATTGAATGATGATGTTCTCCCTTTATTTACTCGATGTTTTTTTCTTCCAATTTCGGGTATTCGTCACCTAGCTCCACGAGAAAAGGAAAAGGATAAGAAAAGGCGAAACGTTCGTACAAAGTCAATCTCTTCCAAAAATTCTAATAGTCTCACACAAGAAGCTCCCTCTCATTGGAATTGTCTTTCCTCCTTTCGAATGTGACAAAGGGAATTACCTCTCCATAAGAAAAAGACTTTCATAAGATGGGCGGTCGACCCCCAAGAGTTCCAACGAACCAGGCCCCTTACCCTCAGAACAGAATAGAATCTGAAACTTCTAGTGACTTAGTTAGTCAGTCATGCAATGGAGGATTTTGAGAAATGCGCCCGAATGTCCCCCCTACCCCCATAAGACTCTCGAAAAAGAGAAAGAGGTTCATCAATCAAGTCTTTCTTATCTTCTTTCATGTGGAAGAGGGTCATCCATACAGAGAATTCGACAGACAAGACTACGGCGACACCTTATTCTTTTCTTCTTTTTGTTTTGATGTCTTTTTTCTTTCAACCCTTTAACCACACTGACTTTGGAATGAAGGAGATCTCGACTTTGCTCAAAGAAAATTATCCATGTGGCGAACTATTGATTAGAAAGACGAACCGGTTCAATCGAAAGACTGACTTCTTTCCCCCCTTGGCCCTTGCCGCCTGCAAGAGACTTGGTGGCAACAAACCCCACGTGCCCCTTTGATTACCCAAAGAACAATTAGAGGATTGATTCTTCTTTTTGAATTCGAATTTTCCTTCCTCTTTTGTTTTACCCCAGGAGCTACAACAAGACAGACAGATAGGGGACTTTTTTCCTCTTTCGATAAATCAACAATTTCCCCATTTGACCCACTACTTTTCACCAGTGAAAACTCCAGTCTTTTTTCGTCACAAGAGTAACTAGCTTGCTTCTATGCT